ATAAAAGTTAGACTTGATCATGAGCAATGTCTATCTCTTTATACTGCATGTATGGAAGAGCTTCCAGAGTGTTTGAATTCCTTAATGAACCCCATCTATTGGCTTAGGTTGGTCTTGTTCTCCTTGACCTGTTAGTATCTATGTTTTGTACTCCTCTGTGTCAATTTTTCTGAGTTGTAAGTCTCATATGATGGTGAATACCTGGAGGGGAAGACGTAGGACACACAACATTGTCCTAAAAATCTGAAAGGTATGAGAAAGATTAAACTTGTACCAGATAGTCCCAGGGATAAAACTATGCCCAAAAGAATGACATTCCTAGAGACATATTCTGGTTTAATATTAGACGGAAAATTCTATAAGTTGCAGACCTTTGAAGTGGGGTGTGGGCTCCTTGGGCCCTCTGTGTCCCTGGAAGGATGTCCTCTGGGCAATGGAATATTATGCCAGCGTTTCAAACATTAGATGGATAGATGAATTATATCATTTTCAATAATAAATCATATCAGTTTTTTCAGTTCTGACCTTCTTCCATATTCTCATTTTTCTGCAGGAATATGCCTGCAGAGTTCTACCTTTTCTTGACCTGGCTGTTGGGAACAAACCCACTGCCAGAAAGGAGAGTGACCCGTGGGTAGGATGATGAAGGGGGCACAGACATCCTTTAAGACAGAAAGGTCCCAAAGCAGAGAAAGAAGTTGACTGGGAAAAATGATGGGAAACACATAGAAAGTCTTTGCAGATGCCCCAGGAAAGCAGCAGTGAAGCTGATAAGGCAGTCTCACCTGATGGGAGCTGGAGCCAGGCTCTGTGGGTTCAGATCCTGGCTCCAGCACTTACTACCTATGTGACATTGGTCAAGTTAATTGCTCTCTGCCTTGGTTTCCCCAGTTATAAAATGGAAATGCACAATCCCTTATTGTCAGGATTAAATAAATATTTATAGTGCATGATAGGTACCCACCAAGGTGTTAGCTGCTTTGTTATAGGGTGAGTTTGAGAAGTTTTATTCAGGATCAGCACAGTTCAGAGTAGGATAGACACCATATCAAGGGATAGAGAATTTTTCACTTTAATATTAAGTGAAAAAGAGGCAAATCAGGGCAGTGAGAGAACTAGTAGTACCAAGCTGGGGAAAGAAGGTAGGGAGACAAACACATTTAGTGGAAAATAGAGGCAGCTTCAAAGCCGAGCAGAAGGGAGGCTACACCCATGATTCCTGAGCCAAATAATCAGCTTGAAACTAGAGTGAGGGGAAATGGGCCAGGAAACGATGGAGAAAAGGGGATTCAGGATGTCTCAAGAAAGCATGGTGGGAGGAAAGAAATTAAGCAACTTAAATATGCTTTTGAGCTTTTATTTTTGGTGCCAAATTATTCAAGCACAGGTTTGGCTGACTTAATCAGATATTTTTATGAAAGATTGTCTTTGTTTTCTGATTTTGTGGCATCACACTTATCATGTGCAATACACCCTCTCTGGATAGAATAGATTCTGGTCAGAGAGTCAAGTGGGGGCTTGTATGGGGGCAGTGGGTGGTGGTGAGGGCCACACGGGAGTGGGCAGGCCTGGAGTGGAGGGGCCCTTAGCGGGGCTTCTGAGTGTGTGCCCTTGTTTGGGAGTGGAGTATCACCTCTGTCCAGTACCAGGGAAGTCTGTGAAGGGGAAGGCATGTGTTCAGAAAGCGGGGCTTCTGAGTGTGTGCCCTTGTTTGGGAGTGGAGTATCACCTCTGTCCAGTACCAGGGAAGTCTGTGAAGGGGAAGGCATGTGTTCAGACACTGTCCCGAATAGTCACATGAGCTGGAGCAAGGAATCCAGAACATGGGTAGGGTACCTGGACCCTCAGAGGCTGGATGTGGGAACTCAGTCTTTGAAGAGCTCGGAAACCAATTCCAAATTGTTACTGAAAGTATCGGTGAAGTCAGTGACCCTTAAGAAATCCTGGAAGGGCCAGAGCCGCTTCATTCTGGGGGCAAGCAGGAAACGTGTCTGGCCCTTCCTGTAGGCATGGCCCCCTACTCCGAAGGGGGGTCTTTATCTGCCTACTGGCCCTCAGCAGAGGAGATGCTCCTGTCAGACTGGTGCTGGGAAGCTCTAGGGAGGGTTCAGTCAGCAGTCCCTTCACTTACTGGCTGTCAAGCTTGGGCGAGCTACCTAGCCTCTCTAAGCCAATCACCTTGTACGAATAGCATTGTGCAGATCCTGTGGCAGTATGTGCAAGCTGCCTTGTAAAATAGAAATTGCTCTTCAAATGGAAGTCTTATTATTTTAACACAGCTTCACCATTATTTAATACATCCAGATTTCATTATAGGAAAACTGAGCTCCTGGTACAGGGAGTCCCCTGAGTAGGTCTCAGTGCAGCAAAGAGTGAACCAGCTGCAGACATATGACCATCTCAGGGAGCAGTCTCCTCCAAAGATGCCCTCAACTGACTGCAAATAGACCCTTTTGCCAGCCTGGCTGCTGCTTTTCTGGGAGCATCTCTCCAATGCACCATCTCCGAGGAGGCAGAGCCTTAGCAGCTAAGCCAGGGAAGCTTAATGCCCTTAGGGTGGTAATTGTCAGGCTGAGCAAACCACCCAAATTTGTGCCCTGTTGGCTCCTGGCCCAATCTGGTGTAAATAGAGTATAAGGGATAGGGCCAAGAGGTTGGTTAACTGCCCTCTCCCCAGACCCTTGTGCCTCTCCATGGGTGCCGGCCTCTCCACCTGCTTCTCCAGCTGATGGACAGAATCATCCATCTGGGCCACAGCTGGGCCCCAGGTCAGGTTTCCCTCCCCACCAGGTTAGATTGCTGAGGTCAGCTCCCAGGTGGTCCTGCAGTAGTGCCTTCCCTCACTCTGTTGTATACACCTGGCCAGAAACATTTCCCCGCTGGCTGCCTCCTGCAGACCTAGCTGCATTCTGGAGTTTCTTTCACTCCTGCTCTCTCTGCAGTCCATGCTCTGGCTTCCCCGTTCCTGAGCTAGCAAATCCCTGAACAGATTCTCTTCCTCCAGGTCTTCCTATCTTTTATCCGTATTTTCACTCCACACCTATTTCCCCTTCCCATCTCCCCCTAAGGAAAGGAGAGTCCCTGCTCATCCTTGAGGCTCAAATTCATTTGCCACTTCCTCCAGGAAGCTCTTCCCATTCCCATTATTCCTCTCTTATGGTGTCACAGGTGTCTGCATGCATGTCTTTGTGCAACAGTACAACCCCTCCACGGCTGGGCCTCCCATCTCCGCATTTCCCCTCCGTAGCACAGGGCATGGAGGACCTCGCAACTTAGAGACCTGCAATGAATTAAACTGGGAATGAATAAGCCAGTGGGGGATGGTTCAGGGTCTCCTGGCTCTTCCCTGGAGAATGGGATGTTAGGGTCACCCTGCACTGATATTCCAGCTATCAGATGGTGCTGTCCAAATTCCCCCTGTGTAACAGTATCACAGGACATTAATAAAATCAATTATTGGATAAAAATCACTGGTTTCCACAGTTTCACTTTGTGCTATTAGCAGGAGAATATTGTTTCAAAAGGAGGTAATGGAGAGAGAGGGAGAGAGAGAGAGAGAGAGAGAGAGAGAGAGAGAGAGATTACCAGATAACATGGAGTGGTGCCTGAGATGAATCTGCACACTGGCAAGCAGCCCCTTGGAGCTGCTATCTGTGGGCCGCGCACCTGCATGGCTGTCTGTGGGGCCTGCCCTAGGCCTTCCTGTCAGGCTCCCCATGCGCAGAACGGCATCCTGGTCGGTGGTGGCACAGGCGGCATCCAGGCAACTTTAGATACTTGCACAGTGACTGCGGTCAGTAACTCATGAATGAACACCTGATCCTCCATGACGCTACCCCAGGGCCCCAGTCTGTGCATTCCAGGTCACAGCCTGGTCAGTAGGTTCTGCACAGAAATGCAGAGGTCTTTGGCTTTGATGAACCTAAAGGGTCTGAGCTTGCTTGGATACAGACTGGCTCCCTTCCAGGGGAGACTGCCAACATCCACGGGGCAGTGGTCATCAAGGGAAGAGCCCAGCTTGCTGAGGCCCTGAAGCCCATGCCTCCCGCTGGCTGTGCTGAGGCCCTGTTGCCTGCGGAGCTGATATGGTGGGGAGCTGGCCCATCTGTGCCTGCCCTGTGTAAGGCCCTCGCCTCCTCTGCTCCGTGAATGTGCTCGAGGGCCCAGAGCCTGAGCTCTGCTTTGGGCTCTGCCACTGTCCATCTGTATAACTTCAGACAAGCCAGTGTTCTTTGTGAAAGCTGTCTTCCCAACTCAGCCCTGAAGAAGGTTTTGGGGAGGATGAAACAAGGTCATGAATAGGGAAACCGTGTTACACATTGTAAAGGGCTGTCTCATGTATGATGGGGTTATTACTTTCTCCCCCATTGATGATTCTTAAAAAAGAAATGTATTCTTGGGTTGGAGGAAGAAAAAAACACCTAGGGCATCTGTCCAGTGTATAACACACCATTATAGATGGATTGCCCACTCCCCATCATTACCTTCCTGTGGCAGATGGGGGACTGGTAGTCATTGTGTACTTACTATGTGTCAGCCACTATGCCAGGATTTTCTGCCCAGGGTTCTCAAATTACTCTGGAAAAGTGGCCTTTGGAGTCAGGATACTAAAATCCAAGTTCCAGTCCTGCCACTTCTGAACTGTGGGACCTTGAGCAAGGTACTTAGCTTATTAAAGCAGTTTTCATGTCTGTGCAATGGGCATATGAGTGATACCTATCTCCTAGAACTACTGTGAGAATTACAAAATAGCATGAGTAAAGGTCCTGGCACAGTGCCTGGTATATAATGTATATAGTGCTGAGTAAATGGTAGCTGCCAACATGGTTGTTCTGCTTGTTGTCATTGTTGTGGATGGTTTTATTAGAGTCCTTCCTCTGGCCCCGTCTTTGAGCTAATGCTTGCCAGAATAAGCTGCACCCCTGAGTTGGGTGCTGACGGAGGGGGGCTGGTGGAGGGCCGGGAGCCCTTCTCACAGACTTCCCATTCATGTCACACAGATCTCAGAAGCTGACTGGGATGACGTGTGGGACCGGTTTGATGAGCGGCCATATCTAAATGCCAAGAAGTGGCGCGTTGGTGATGATCCCTATAAGCTGTATGCTTTCAACCAGCGGGAAAGCGAGCGGATCGCCAGCAATCGGGTTGTCCCGGACACTCGCCACTCAAGGTACCTCCTTCTCCTGCTCTGTTACTCACTACCCCTCCCTGCAGTCCTGACCTACTGACAGCAGGCTTGGTTGGTATGGTACCTGGTGCCAAAAATTGGGGAGACAGACCATTTGTTCCCAGCTGGATGCTGAAGGGCTTATGGCGTGGTAATTTACACTCTGTGCTGTTCACTGCTGCAAGCCGCCCCAGAGCAGTCCCATGGACAGGGTGGAGCCTCCTTCCCCTGCACCTTGCCCCTCTCACCCAGGGGTCCCCGTTGGTGACACTTGACATGAAATCATGGAGCACTAAAAACCCGACAGCCTGGGCTTATTTTTCCCTGGCAGATTCCTACGGCCTGGCTAGACTCCTAAACTGGGGAAGGCCGGATGGGAAGACCCCTAGAAGTCTGGTTGTGGTCTCTTCTGTTGCTGGGAGAGGCCCTGGTCCTTCCTCTGACAGCCCAGGTACATTTTATCATGTGAGAAGAGAAGCCAGAGGGGCTTCTTCATTTGCTATTGGGTCTGCTGTCTGCTTTGGAGCAGCCCATCACACATCCTCTATTCTACCAGGCCCTGGTCAGGCCATACCTTCAAATGGATTGCAGAGATCAGGCCTGGAACAATGTAGAAAGCTTTATGTCCCAACAAAAAGCATCTTTGTGAAGGCCCTTTGCTTCATTAACAGAGTCATACCAGCCCTTTGCTTCCTGGTGAAGCCTGAGGAAGCAAGTCAGTCTAAACCCCAGGTCCTCCCTCCTGGCCTCCTGGCCTCCTGGCCTCCAAGCTGGGAGGCCAGCTGTGTCAAAGGCCCATGAGGGTGTGTTTCTTGTCTGCTGCAGGAAATTGACTTTGCACCACCTCCAAATAGCAGACCAGCATGCTGGGGGTAAAGGGATTGGAAGGCTATGTTAAACTGAGAGGCTGTAGGGATGGTGTTAGCTTCTTAGCTTTCTGTATTTGTTTGTGTTCTTGGGCACCAAATAGTCGACACTGGGGTTTACATGCAGAGCAATAAGAATTCTCATGACTCATGAGGCTGGTCTATCTGGTGGTGTGCAAGTTATCAATATATGAAGGCTGGTGGACTCACTTTCCACAACTAGACTATACAACTCAGAAACACTTGACTTATACAGCATGTGACCCATGGAGGCACTCAACCACCATCATTCCAAAAAGGAGCTGGAGTCCTGGTTTCCTCATGAATAAAGCCAGGGGCATGAGCTAGGTGATACCTGTGGCTTCTTCTGACTTTAGAATCTGTGAATGTGACTCTCTCCTCGAGGCAGCCACGAGCCTTTTCCTGAACAGCAGGGCCTGGACCATAGCCAAGACCCAGGGAATGGATTATACCTAGGACTCTCCTTGCTGCTGTCTTGAAAACTTCTTCAAGTGTTATTCCTATTAAAATTGCCTGGCCCTTATCTTGGTCCTTGGCATCTGATAGAAGTTTATTGAAGTTTTAGGTTATTTTATTTTCCTGAGTAGTCTCCCTATAGGAGAAGGGAAGACGGAGGAGACAGAAGGTTGAGAAGCCACACTGGGTCTCGGGTGGGTGGTCCTTTCCTTGTCCAGATGCCGAGACCTTCCAGAGGGACAAAGGGATGCCTCCTGGCCAGGAAAGGACCTGGAGGGTCTGGGTAAGAGCCTTCCAAATGGCACATCTACATGCGCTCCCAGCAGCAGGGAAACTTCAGCAGCTCACTGAGCGGGCAGGGTGAGTTTGTGCCTTCACCCTGTTCTATGATCTGAGAGGCAGAAATAAGAGTTTTATAAGGGCCAGCCATATGTGGTGGTTGCACCTGAAGAACTGAGCCGGTCCCCAAGGACCCAAGTTCACCAGGGCCAGTTCTGGGCGGTGCACCTAACTCAGTGTTCCATCTGTTAGATACGTGTGATCCGCTGGGACTGCGGCAAGAAGGGAGGAGAGGATTTAGATGAAATCCAGATACCCTTTGGGCAGACAAAGAAGAAAAGTGTATTATCAGCCATATGTCTGCCTTGGGGCTCTAACCTTGCCCTGTGGGAGCAGAGACTGTGTTACTCAGAGAATTTCAGTATTCGGGGTACTTATCTGGAAAAGCAGAATGGGGAGAGAACAGAGTATTAGGGATGAGGGAAAGCACATGGGACCAGTGGGACCAGGCAGCCATGGCAGGAGCACTGAGCACCTACTGTGTGCAAAGCCCCGGTCTAGCACCATGAGAAGCCTTTGATCAGATCAGCCATCCCCAGGCTGTTTGGTGCAGCGCTGACCCTGTGTTATGCTGCTCTTGTGGTGCTGAGAGGTCCAGAGGCTACCAGTTCTTTCCTCAAATAGGTCTCACTGGGGGTTGTCCTTCCATCTACAGGGTCACCCATTCCAAGCCTTGCCTCCCAGAGAATAGACAAGGGGTTCTCAGTAAGACTGACATGTGGGCTGGCTACTGCTGTGTGGTGGGGGCCATCCTGTGTGTGGTAGGACAGTTAGTGGCACCTCTGGCTTCTCCCTTTTAGATGCCAATAACACCCCCCAAGTTGTGACAACCAAAAAACGTCTCCAAACATTGCCTGGAGGGGCAAAACTTCAGTGAAAACCACTGCTGTAAAGCCAGCCCCGATGGTTACCTGAGTTCTCCAGAATGAAACATCAACGTGCATTACCGGCCCTGGGAGCAGGATGAGGCCAGATCTTCCCCATAAGATAGAATCAAGACAGCAGAGAGTCCAGTCTGGGGGTTAAGGATACGGATTCCGGGATCAGGGCATCCTGTTTCCAGTCCTGGTTGTGCCAACAGCTGAGCAAACTTACCATTCCCTGGCTTCTCTGGACCATGTTTCCTTTTTTGAAAAATAGAGATAGAAATAACAATAAGATACCTACATAATGCAGGTTTTGAAAGGATCAAATAAAATATACGTAATGTGCTTACCTACTCCATAGTAAATAGTCAAAAAATGTCCATTACTTTTATTATTACAGGGTGTTAGGTGGGCTGGCACTGTCAAGCCTGGCTCTCCTGAGAAAATAGAAGGTGCTTAGGTTTGAACCTGCAGCCAAACCCCAGGATTAGGAAGGGGCATGGGCAAGACCAGCTCGTCAGGACAGTGGTGGGGCAAAGATGAGGAGAGGAGGGCGTCACAGTTACATTCAATGCCAGAGAAATGGGAATGAATGAAGCAAACCCCTGTGGGCATGCAGTGTTGCTCTGAGCATGAGCTCGGCTGTTCTCAGGTCAGGCATCTGAGAAGGATCACGTGAGAAACTCTTTTAAAATGATACCCAGACTCTGACCAGCTGAAGTATTTATTTACTGCACTTGCTAGTGATTCTAATGAGTAGCCAGAGTTAAAAACCACTACCCCAGGTAAGCGTTTCCCAAACTTAAATAGGCAAATAAATCATCTGAGGATCTTGTACCTCTGACTCAGCAAGTCTGGGCTGGGGTCTAAGATTCTGCATTTCTAACAAGCTCCCAGGTGACCCCAATGCTGCTGGTGAATAGATCACGGTTGAAATAGCAAGGGCACAAAAGTAAACTCAAAATGGATCAAAGACCTGAATGTAAGTCATGAAACCATAAAACTCTTAGAAGACAACATAGGCAAACATCTCTTGAATATAAACATGAGCAACTTTTTCCTGAATGCATCTCCTCGGGCAAGGGAAACAAAAACAAAATGAACAAATGGGACTACATCATGCTAAAATCTTCTGTACAGCAAAGGACACCATCAGCAGAACAAAAAGGCATCCTACAGTATGGGAGAATATATTTGTAAATGACATATCCAACAAGGGGTTAACATCCAAAATATATAAAGAACTCACACATCTCAACACCCAAAAAGCAAATAACCCTATTAAAAAATGGGCAGAGGATATGAACAGACACTTCTCCAAAGAAGAAGTTCAGATGGCCAACAGCCACATGAAAAGATGCTTCACATAGCTAATTATCAGGGAAATGCAAATTAAAACCACAATGAGGTAACACCTCACACCAGTTAGGATGGCCGACATAGAAGAGAATAGGAACAACAAATGCTGGTGAGGATGTGGAAAAAGGGGAACCCTCTTACACTGCTGGTGGGAATGTAAACTAGTTCAACCATTGTGGAAAGCAGTATGGAGGTTCCTCAGAATGCTCAAAATAGAAATACCATTTGATCCAGGAATTCCACTCCTAGGAACTTACCCTAAGAATACAGCAGCCCAGTTTCAAAAAGACATATGTACCCCTATGTTTATCACAGCACTGTTTACAATAGCCAAGAAATGGAAGCAACCTAAGTGTCCATCAGTAGATGAATGAATAAAGAAGATGTGGTGCCTATACACAATGGAATATATTCAGCCATAAGAAGAAAACAAATCCTACCATTTGCAACAACATGGATGGAGCTAGAGGGTATTATGCTCAGTGAAATAAGCCAGGAAGAGAAAGACAAGTACCAAATGATTTCACTTGTCTGTGGAACATTAGAACAAAGCAAAAACTGAAGGAACAAAACAGCAGCAGACTCACAGAACTCAAGAATGGACTAACAGTTGCCAAAAGGAAAGGGACTGGGGGAGGTGGGTGGGAAGAGAGGGATAAGGGGAAAAAGGGCATTATGATTAGCACACATAATGTAGTGGGGGGCACAGGGAAGGCAGTATAGCACAGAGAAGACAAGTAGTGACTCTGTAGCATCTTATGCTGATGGGCAGTGACTGTAATAGGGTATGTGGTGGGGACTTGATAATGGGGGAATCTAGTAACCACAATGTTGCTCATGTAATTGTATATTAATGATACCAAAAAAAAAAAAAAAAGAAAGGAAGAAACAGCAAGGGCTTAGACCAGTGGTTCTCCAAGTACCATTTGGGATTTGTGGTTCCCCAAAGCAGCAGAGCCCCAGCATTGGCATCCCTTGGGAACTTGTTAGAAATGCAAATCCTTAAGCTTTGCCCCAGAACTACTGAATCAGAAACTCTGGGTGGGACCTAGCATTCTGAATCTTAACAAGCACCGCAAGTGATTGTGATGCCCAC